ATGCAGGTTCAAATAAAAAATTATATTATTTTTGCATTATTCAATTACTTCAATTCATTACTTCAATAAAACTGCAGTTTTAATTATTATTGAATGATATATTTTATTACATCTAATATTTGTTAATAAGGTATATTTCTTACATATCAAAATTTTTTTTCCAAGGGTTTACTATTACACTTGGTTCTGTGTTGCTCTTATTAACAAAACAGTTTCAAAATCCAGTTTCTTTGTCTGAATAGCTCCTAAGACCAATAATAAAGCAAAAATTAAGTAGAGAAATGTCAACCATATGGTAGCTTTAGGATTCTTTCACCACTATGGTTAAAGACTGTCACTAATGTCAAAAATTTAAGTAATAAAGACTTGATCTGCTTATTTTTTCATCTTCTTATAACTTCATTTTCCTTTCAAGATTTTTCATACTCTAATGATAAACAGAGCATGATTTCTTTAACTCAGTTATTTTTTCTCTTTGTGTGAGAGTTCATGTATCACTTCTTTGCTTATATGTCTTAGAATTATTTCTTTGTGGCTTCGATTTTGAAAACACTTTTTAAAGGATTTTAAAGCCGTTTTCAATGGCCTTTTGCTTTCTCCCCTCCATCAAGCTCATCATATTAACACAAAAGCCATCTTCCTGCTGAAGTCATTTCTTCATTGCTCTTCATCTTACTTAACTTCCTCTTTGAGTCCAGAAGATCCCCATGTCCTTTCCATTCTGTTATTGAAATATCTCCAGGCTCTGCTTCACTTACTGTTTCTGTGGGCTTTCTCTACACTATTGAATACTTCAGTCCTTATCACATATCAAAGCTATTTTATCTAAAAAGCAATACATGGCATTGCCCTTCTGCAATAATGTAACATAAATACATATTGTACACGTATTACAACTTTGTAATATTTGTAGCCAACTTACTCCAAGCTCAAAGGCTTTGATTAGGCATATTATGGGGGGTGTTATTAGGTTTTTGTTTCTTTATTTTTTGTGTGTGTTTGGTGAATAAACAGGTCGCCTGCCCTCATCCAGAATTTCCAGGCAAGATGGGCAGCGAGGTGTAAAAAATGCACTCGAGAGTAACAAGGAAGCTTGTGAGAGGAACTGAGTGATCCTCACCACATCCAGATGAGTAGTACAAGGCCTTCTCTGAACTCAAAGGCCAGGAGATATTCTATTTTATCCTAAAGTGTGATTTTGCTATTCTGAGACTGTGTGTATGCATATGTATATATAACCACATAAATATCTATGTGCGTATATGTTTATACTTTTGAATTGATCCCATTACTTACATAAGTTGATTTCATAATATGTACTTTAAATCAGCTTGTTAGATGGTTTAGCCACTTAAAATTCATGTAATAGAAATCATTAATATTTTTGTAGCTTACTTACAAATAAAGATCCTCTAGAGATATCCCTCATTGTAATAGATAGGAGCCATATAACTCTCATGCAAAACATTTTTAAAAGAAAATACTTTCTCTTCATATGATTTCAGATAGAGTTCTTTTTGTAGGTATTGGATTATTTCCACTTCTGATCCAGTATTGTTGGTTTCATTTGTGGACACTTTTCTGGGTTATGTGGAGGATCTTTTTGGGTAAACATAGGCATCAAAAATAAATTTCCACTCTAGAGAGAGAGTTAATTTAAAAATGGAGTTCCTGGATGAATCTCTTTTACTTTTAAAACAATATAGCATTGCAATTTTATTTCTGAAACTGAGTCATTATAAGAGTTAAGTGAGAAGGAACATCCAAATCATTGTCACACAACAATTTCTATGTTGTGTGAAACATAGTACTTTATTAGTCAATACCATAGTCATCATCATCATTATCAGACTGAGAAAAGTTATAAAATCCTGGAGCAATCAATTTTAAATCAACAGTAAAATGACAAACTATTTCCATAAGTTTTATACAAATACATTTGCCATTTATGTTTTCTCATCTCCTTTTATAGAAGAAAATGGATGCAAATGGGGGCTTAATAAGTCATACATGCATATGAATATACACATTGCCATAAAGCACTGTGATAAGTAAATTCTAAGAAATTATGTTGTGCATGTTTAAGCAATGGAAAAAGTATGTCAAATTCATCTGAAGCAAGATTTTTTATCATAACTGCTTAAGAGTCATGAGCAAATATAGCTAGTCTGGGGAATTCTCCTTTAAGTTATTTATGTAGGAAATACATGTTTTCTTGACATTAACATTCAAATAGATATCATTCCAGTTCATAATTTTATGTCACATTTGCTGTTTAATTGCTCCATATGAGAAATGTTTCTGCTAAATGAGCACTGGCCTCGAAAGAAATGGTTTTACTGTGTATAAATGTATTCTGTCTTTTCCTCTGAAGAATGTAACTCAAAATGATGTTACACTAAAAAGGTTTTGACACAAAGACATGTAAAACTTCAGGCAGTTGGACTAATATTTTATTCATGCAAAACATGAAAACCTCCTTCTTTCAAATAATTCAACAATATCTCCCATTTATTATAATACCAGACAGTGGTTCAAATGTGCATGTAATGCAATCATAAAATAATTTGATCACAGTGATCTGCTATGTAATTTTCTATTGCCCTCTCATTTTTCTCTTTATGAGTATAGGCATTTTAATATATGTTATGATTGTTTTAGAGGTGCATTTAAAATAATATTGTTTTAGAGTGGCATATAAAGAAAATCATAGTTTTTATTTTTAATATCACGTTAAATTAGAAGAATTGTGAACTTCAGAGTTTAAAAACTTGTAACTTCAATTCATTGTTGATAACTGAGTATGTATCTCTCTAAGGGTCCATCTTCTTTATAGGCAAATGTGATAAATATTAATCTAATAATGTTATTGTGGCTGGGATGGCGCTTGGCGATCAGCCAGTAGGTGGTGCTGTGGGTGGTGACAGAAAAAAATAGACCACCTCCAGGATAGGTCCAGGACTCTTCCACCCTCATGGACAGCTCGTGCCTCCCCTTACAGACCATGGGAAGGGTGTACACGTGAACTCACTCCACCCCTCTGACCTTTATCCTGATTGGCTCCTGTGCATTATATTAGCTGTGTGTACTTCCTCAATAAACAAGATCCTGCTTTGACCTGTCACCCTAACGTGTCTGATTGTCCTTCGGCAGCGGGGCTGGGTGAGGGCTCCTGGGTGCCGGCGGCCAGTCAACCTTTGCCTTTCTTGGCTCATCCTGGTCGGGGCCTGCTTTCCCCATCTCTCCTGCAGGTCAGGAGGAAACCAGGGGCTAAAACCCTGACACCTACCCACTAGTAGGACATCTTTCCACTGGTAGTGGTTTTGAATTTCTGACATGGAAACACCACTATCACCCATATAAATAAGAATATCACATTTCCCAGAACGTATTTGCTACACTATAGATTCCACATGCTTTATATACACAAAACCTGAATCTGAACCCATGTTTAATATCCTACATTTTACAAGCAAATAGAATAATCACTCAATCTATACTACTCAATAATCTATCACAGCTTGCCATATTTAAAGCAGACATAAATAAAAACAGAAAGAAAGGAATAAGAAAGAACTAAAGGAGAAAAGAAAAACATGGAAAGCTTTTAGAATTGGAATCATATTCTTTAATGAGATCATATAATAGAGAACCAAATTAATTATTTGTTTCTCCTTTTAAATTGTTTTCTGTTTTCCTCAATAAAAATGTAAAAAAATATTGCTTTAAGGAATTTTGTGTTATTGCTCATAACGTTATCTAGTAAACTTTGTTATACACTTTCCATGTTCTAAAAGTTTGATGTTATCTTTGAAACAAATTCATACATTTTTTAAATTGACAGAAACTATGTATGTTTATCATGAACCACATGGCATTTTTAAATATGTGTTCTGGTAGAATGGTTCAATTAACTAATCAACATATGCATTAAAGTATAATGATTTCTAAATGCCATTCCAAACATTTGGCCATTAGATTTTCTGATTACTAAATAAAAAAATATATCAATGAAGAAAATATAGGTTGAAACTAAAAAGAAAAAAGTGACAAAGCATTCAAATATGAAAACATGTAGCCAAAGCAATAAAACATAAAATTATTTAAATATTCTTAGTGCTACAGATTTTAGTAGATGAACTCCCTAATTGTCCTTCTGAAATGGAAAAAGAAAAATCATTTTGGTTTTTAAACTCTCTAGACAAATAACGACCTGGCGATTTAATCAAATTTCTTATAAAACTATGACTAAAACCATTCAGCGTCAATATTCTAACTCTGAGGAACAGAGAAATGATTCCCCAAAATGCACTGGGAAGTGAATAGGTACTGATTGGTGTTAAATGTAATACTGTAACAGAAAACTAGATGAAATACAAGTGAGAAATACTCATTTTCAAAGGGAAACACAGAGTTATAGAGAGGATACAGGTGTGAACCATTCTATTATCAAAAGGAACTGTAGCAATTTTCACCTATTGCAAAACTAAAACGAAATAACTAGTCAGAACTAAAATAATAAAATATCATCAATATTATCCTATGCACAAAAGTATATGAAAATAGTTCCATGAGTATAATTTACAAAAACAGAGTCACAGAATTATTATGTTAAATATATAATAAAAAATATGATGGTACATGTGTTATAAATATGATGTCTTATATCAGATTATGCATATTTGTGTTACATCTTAAGTTAATAATGTATCAGGGTAAGATCCCACCTAAACAACTATAAATATTTTGTTTTAGTTAACATTGATTTAATAAGTCTGATTGTTCAATTATTAACTCTACTTTCTATTAAAATAACATGGGACGTGAATTACATTGAAATTATAAATTCTGAAGTCATGCAATTTTTATCTGTTGACTTATGCTCCCTGAAACCAAAACAATGTCTGGGAATTGATTTTAATTGCTAATGCATTATATGACATTGTAAGTCAATAATTTCAAATGGCTCTGCAGATTTTGAGTTAGGGTAAATTACATACTTTTGGGGAAGCGAGGTGGATTGTCATTGACGTCACTGAGGGTGATGTTGACTACTGTTGTTCCAGCCAGTCCTCCTAGTTGTCCTCCCATATCTTTGGCTTGAATGAGAACTTGGTATTGTTCTTTGACTTCTCTATCCATGTTTGGCAAAGCTGTTCTAATAATACCTTAAGGGGGAAATAGTAACAGAAGACAAACATCACAAATCCTGTACTTTCCATAATAAAATAGATTGCAACCATGATAAAATGATTCTATGTAGATTCACTAGCAAAGTTAAAAATCATATGCTAGTGAAAAATCATGTGTTATTTAAAAACACCTTAAATGCTCAATACTTAAGATATAATTTAATGTATTTTGGAAACAACCCTACAATGAGATACAGAGCAGCAGTGAGGAATTATTAAAAACCACCATATTAGTTCTAAAATGTAATTAAAAACATTAGGTTAAATTTTATTTATACAAATGTGTCTATTTCAAATAAGAATTATTTAAAAAATTGGTAAACATAATCATGTGAAAAAATGTACATGATCAATTTCTGTTGAGTGTTCACTTTCTAATGATTACCATTTTCTTCTTCACTTTCATTTTCTAGGACAAATATGCCACTTAGTTTTTTTAAATTCATGAATAATCTTCTTTGCACATTATATTTTGTCTTTCGCATCTCCCTCAGTTACTTTAGCAATAGATTTTTTATTTAGGTATAATTAAGCTTTATAATTGCTGGGACTTCTGTCTCCTTTGTCACCAGGTCCTCCAGCACCTAGGACAGAGCCTGATATTTGGAAGGAACTCAACAGCTGGTTGACCAGATAAATGACTGTTTGAGTGAATTTATCCATAATTACATTTTTAGTCATAAATTTAATGGTTCATATGCATATTTATACATGATGTTCATTTTCTACTTTTGTGTCCAAATTTAGAACTAATTTATATTTACACTTATTCATAAGGAAGTAAGTAAAAGCTTCCAGCATTCTTTGCCAAAAAAAAAAAAAAATCTGAATGCATTTTAAACCTAATTCCTATTTGCAGTCAATGGTTTTAGGGTAAGATGGGACAGCCTTTGGCTTCAACCTGTGTGGCATTGATAGTGTTGTTTCTTAAGGGAGCAAGTATGAATGACAAAGAGTATCAACAGGAGCACATAGCATTGAAATCACAAACCAAATATGCATCCTAATTTATCTTTACTTTCTACTTACTATCCAACTACCAAATGCCATTTTGAAGCCAATTCAGATTTAACTGCAATCTGAAATTTCTTTTGACACTTGGAAGAAATAATTATAAAATGACAGCCTTCACTTTGCTACTGATGTTTTATTCAAAAATTGGTACTGACACCATTTTGATTCAATCTGTTTGTCTCCAGCTTAAGCTCCTGATGCTTTATTTCCAACTAAATCTTACAACTAAGATTTCTCATCTCTAGTTTTTTAATGTCTCTATCCTGCCTACCTTAATCTGTGTGACTTCTTTCTGAATTAGGCTTTCTGCAAATTTTAGATAAATTCCTGAGTTTGGTTCATACGTTTATATGCTTACTGACTTCTTGTTCTATTCACTAAGGCCTAGCTTTATACAATTTATTTTAAATATAATAACTACAAATATATGTAAAATATTTTTATTTGTTTAATTCATTTGTGTTTGAAAATCCTCAATATGAAATTAGAGAGAAAGAAAAGGGAGAGAAGGCAGGAAAGAGAGAAAGGGAGAGAGAATTATGGACTTGTTTCTTTCTGCTTAGTGAAGTGTATAAAAAAGCTATCTACTGAGATGAAGTTAGATCAAAACATTAAGATACAATTGCAAAGGGGGTAGATACATATAACTCACTTTCAGAATATCTGTTTTTTCCTGTGATCTTTTTCCCCCTGTGATTTTTAATTTTGTCAAGATGTCCCCATGACCCCTGCCACCCTGCCCTCTTCATCTGCCCTGGGTATGATAGGTGACCTGCCTTCTGCCCCCTGTCCTCCTTTGGTACCATGTTGCCTAACTAACTATAAGGTAGTACATTAAAATTTTGGAAGAGCAAGAATATATGTGGTGATGAGAATGATGCTCTTACCCCCATCACTTTCATTCAATAACCATGGTTCTACAAAAATAAAATGCAACATTTTCACATTTTTATAACTTGTACAAATCTGGGGAATCAAGAAGACTACAATATTGAACATGAAAAGAGAATTTTTCATTACATCACTTTTTAAAATGCTGAAAATTTCTCTTTCTGCAGGAAATTATTCCTCTTATGGCCATTTGTTTATCAATCAATTAAAAAATTAAAACCAATCAAACAAGCAAGAATAGATTGCATGGTTTTGATGTAGGAGGAGTTTGCAAAGAACTGAGCTGCAGTTCTTCCATACCAGGCAGCAAGTAGCAGAAGAAAATGCTTCATGCCAACTAAGTTTTCATGTTAGTATTATGTGTCCATCCTATCTACCTTTCTTTTGGTATTTGTATATAGATATAGTGGCTGACTTATAGGAGAGCAGTTGAAAACAAACCCATGAATTTTATAGAACAGTTTAAATATTTCACAAAAATGATGCCACTTACTTTAATTCATTCCATATAATTCTAAAATAAATTATATTTATTGGATAAAAGGAGACAGAGCTAATTAATCCTGGGATGATTTGAATATCTTCTAACTGAGGATATTTCTAATATATTAATCAAGACAGCTAGAATGGGAAAAATATTGTTACATAGTTTCTGCCAATATAAATGGACATATATAACTGAGATAGTTTTACATATTTAAAATAATACAACAAAGAAAAATAGTCTGCAGAAAGTTTTATTTTATTCTTTGGCAATAGTCCCTCAATCTTGATGGATATCTGATTATTTTATAAAATACAGTAAATCTTCCAAGAATGCCATTTTGAGATGAAAAATAACACAATATTATATAGGAAAAATATCACAAACAGCATCTGTGATCATCTAGAATATAATTTTACAGAAGCTATTTTTTGAATGAAGAGGTAAAGTGCAGTACTAAGACATGGGACCACAGATCAGGCAGGCCTTGTACTAAAGTAAACATTTCATTCACCTTTTGTTATTAGAATTTCGGGTATAATCTTCTTCTCCTGCTCTTCCTCCCTATCCCATTTTGAGTCACCCCCCTTACATCAGAGAAGACATTTGGCATTTGTTTTTTAGGGATTGGCTAACTTCACTTAGCATAATCT